GCATATTGCCATCCTTCGTGTGTGGAAAACATGTCAAAACAAAAGCAAGATATCTGCAAAGGGTAATATTAACAATGTCTCTCTGCCTCAGAGGATCCTAGAGAAATTCATTAATTTATTTGCAAGATGTTCTGACTGGAGTAAGGATCCTGTAATTAAATTCCATTTACTCATTGTCAATGGCTTTATGTGTTCTTTGTAAGAAAACAAAGGAAAACATAAACATGCAAAGGTACTCAATTTCAAATAAGACACACAAAGGACTCTTGTGCTCACATGGATGATTCTTTTTTCTCAGGCTTTCTCATTGCCCAGATTACTTTCCATAGACATGTGGCATTTCATAAACTGCATCTCCGTGACTACAGGGACGTGGGATTTCTGGAGACAGCACAAGGTGACATGTACCATCCTATCCTCCCTGCCTGTGTAACTTCTCCTTAATGGATGACTACCTGCTACTATGCCACCCTGGCAGGACACTGCCTCATCCCCCAGCTGCAGGAGACACCCTTGCTGCAGGAGACTTCCACCATGCTCTCTCTCTCTCTGGCAGACCCTTAGCTCAGAAGGGCTCTGAAAATTAACTTCTGGAGTTTCATCATCAAGCAGTTTGCAGAGACAAGGGCAGGGGGAGCACAGCTCCCATCTCAAGGCTAGGAAGAAGCATTACACAAGCAAGGGGGAAAGGAAAGTCTGATGGCAAGATCCTGGGACTCCCTGCATGCAGCAGGGGATGTGCTTCTGGGACCACAAGTATACATGTACAAGCAGAGAACTGGTTCATCAGGCCATTTAAGAGATGCACAGGGATAGAAGATACAACAACTTGGTCACTAATCTGAAGAACTTTCATTTTAGCAGAGCTGCTGAGGCAAAATCTTAAGAAGACTGTTAATGAAATAATTACCTATGATTATCATTGACCCCTGTGTGAATCTGCATTTCTGTGAAGTCTGGATCAAAACAATTTTCTTTTTTATCAGAAGAAAGAAATTTTTACAGAACAATGCAAGGTTATCTGCAAACTTAAGTGGGAAGCACTGTGGAAAAATGAGCTCAGTGGAAGGTGCTAATTGGGCTGATCTTCACAGTGTCTGAAGGAGATAAACAGTCTGCTATCTAAAACCAAACTAATTTTTTAAATGTTTTGGGGAAAAAGGTGAAGGAATACACCACAAAGCACAGCCCTTTCATGGCAAGTCCAGAGAAGCACAGGGCTTGAACTTCTTTGATTCATTTGCTTATAAGAAATACATGTCTACACAAAAACTTTCTCTTACTGGCTCTATAGTGGGTATTGCTGTACCCACTGCTGCCATTCAGACTGGACAAGGAGCTAGCAGATGACTATTTTCCAACTTGATTAAAAGAAGTCATCTCAGAAAAGTATTCTTTGTCCTAACAGTCATGCAAGAAAAATGTATATGTCAACATAGAGGAACAGAGAGAGTCAGATCATCAGCTCTGGTAAAATTAGAAAGAAGCACAATGGAATCTATTAATGCTACTCACAAGCAATAGGGACTGTAACATAAAACTGAAGAAACATAAAAAGCTTGATCATCCACAAAGATTACAACAAGTTAATCAGAAATAACAGCAGCAGGGGACTTCCTATGCCAAGAACAGACTTCACTTTCTTGAATATCATACTTACAATAAACTGTTCTGGACAATAAGCTGCAACATGAGCATGAGGGCTCTGGAAAATTAGAGAGCAGTCCCATTTTAGTTTTTGAGTTAGTCTTGGTTCAGAAAGAAAGATAACAGAAAGGGATACACCCCTCAGTTGGTGTTCACATGGAGGATACCCACCTACAAGGAAATCTCTAGGTCCTGAGTATTGCTCTTGCTAGCACAGGGCAACACTGAGGGCACTGCCTGTGATGCTGCCATCAAGAAAAGATCCTCACATCCATGAAGAAAACCTGACACAGACCTACAGCCAAAAAGCACAGCCAGCAGTAGGTACTTCTTGCAAGGATGACAGTAGTACTTCAACCAAACACAAGAAAAGATTCAAGCTCAGAGGCTAAAGGGGTCACCTGGGGGTGCTGCTTGGCAAGAATGTCAGTGATTGCATCCTGATGTGGTTTCACCCCATCCAGCAGCCAAGCCCCACACAGCTGCTCCCTCACTGCCATGCCAGCAGGATCAGGGAGAGAGTCAGAAGGGTAAAAGCTGGAAAACTCACAGGCTGGGACAAAAGCAGTTTAATAGGGAAAGCAAAAGCTTTGCACACCAGCAAAGCTAAACGAGGGATTAATTCACTGCTTCCCATGGGCAGGCAGGTGTTCAGCCATCTCCAGGAGAGCAGGGCCCCATCACACATAATGGTGACATGACAAGACATCATCACTTCAAATGTCCCCCTCTTCCTCCCTATTCCCTCAATTTTATATAACTATTATTTATATAATGTACCTGATGTCATATGGTCTGGAACGTCCCTTTGGTCAGTTGGGGTCACCTGTCCCAGCTGTGTCTCCTCTCAGCCTCCCATGCACTCCCAACTTCTATGCCAGTGTGGCAGCAAGAAAAGCAGCAAAGGCCTTGGCTCTGTGTAACCCTGCTCAGCAAAAACCAAAACATCTCTGTATTATCAACCCTGTGTTCAGCACAAATCCAAAACACAGTCCCATACTGTGAAGAAAGTTAACTCTACCCCAGACAAAATCGGCATACTTCTCCAGTCTGCTGCTTTGTAAAGTAAGAAAAAAGTCATGAGGATTTGGGATTTTTTTTTAATTAAAAAAAAAAAGATTTGGGAATTCCCCCTTCAAAACAGCACAAACTTAAAACTTCATGGCTGCTCTGCATATGAGTATGTGCATGCTGGGCCAGTGTGTGCATGCTGGGCCATGAGAAGCAAAATGTGTTAGGAAACCAGAATAGTAAATTGTAATTTAATTTACCCTACCCAATGTAGAAAAGGGACCTAGCTGTTTCTTCACAGCTTATGCAATATTTCCCATTGAACACTACCTCACAGGTCATACACCTCCTTTCCAAACATAACACTGCCTCATAATAAAACTTAGGAAAACATATTGAAAGGTCAAAATAACAGTAACAAGTTATAAAACTATTTTACTTATTCAAGGTTTCTATTTCCAATATCCTCTCTTTAATCTTACACTTTCAATATTTGCATACACTTTTGCAAACTTTATTAGGGTGGTATTTTGAGTTTGGGTGGACAGTGTTAAAGTGTTAATCCCTGAATGCATTTAAACACCCCCAACCAGACTGTGTAACTAAAATATTTAATGTCTCTGTCTCTCTCCACTTTCTTGTGAGCAGTTTTCCTTAAACTAATCCTGAATGTCCTAGCAGAAGTTCACTTTTCTGTTGAGATGTTCTGCCAGTATCAGTTGGTATTTTAGCCTCATCAGAGAGGGGCTAAACTGGGGTTGGTCCAGATAATGGAAAGCTCAGCAGAGCAAGCAGTCTCACCCTCCCAACATGAAGTATTCCTTCCGATGGAAACCAGACCATGGAAAGCAAAAAGGGAATTACCTGTGTTCAGGTACTGTCCTCACTAATTTGAGACATTTTTCAGTGTCCTGCTATCAGACACAAGTTAAAATACCTTCTCATGATCCAGCTTCTGGGAGGTAATCACAGACACTCAAGGAAGTTGCATCAAAGGAAGTTTCCAATTTATTATTTTGAAAAATGTGCATTTAAGCAATTTTCCCAAAAGCATAAAAGAGGCTGATGCATACCTAGAAATGGGATTTTGGCCACCCTAGACTTCAGTTCTTCAGCACCACTCACTCTCCTGAGACTCAGAGCTCATGGTTGAGTGTGAATCCCACAGCTCTGGCTTCAGGAGTTGCTGCTGACCTGTGGGGATGCTGCATTTGTTGTGTGCAATATTCACAGAGCACATGTGTTTCTCAAACTGCTAATCACCTGGTTCCACACTGTTTGTCAGCACCTCTCTGTTCCTGGCTACCTCCTGCCATAACAAAGCAAGCAGAGTAGAACATAATCTTTCCGTCCCCTGCAGCAGCTCAGGCTCCATCACTGATGTATTGAGAGAGGTCAGGATTCCCCCAAAGGTCCCTGACTTGTCCCACCTGTCAGGCAAATTGCTCCCAAAAAACAAGTGATAGAACGTGACCGGGGCTAGAATGTAGGAGGAAAACGGCAGCAGAGTTTTATACTTCCATACATTTTACTATGACAGTATTTGAGGGCAGGGGGCAGATTACAGCCTCAGACTTGACCAAAGGCAGAGTAGTCCTGCTTTAGGTTAATCCTCACTGAAGCTTGGTACAGCAATGTTACCTTGTGCTGGTTATGAAGGTTATGAATGGCACATTGACAGCTTGGCTAACAGGCAGGTGTAAAATGAATTTGTGCTAACGTGATTTTGTGCTGTCTCTTCCTTCACATCTGAACAATATTTCTTGTGGTATCACGTGAAATGATGGTGTCTTAACTGAACCTAAAAGCTCTGAGTCCTTGATGGATCCTGAGGCTTCTGTGACAACAAAATTGGGTAATGATTCCAATATGAATGAAAAATTTCAAATATTAAAGCTGCTACTACAATTTCTCTGTTCTTAGCTGTCTCTCTCATCCCAGTTTTAAAGCTTTTTCTGACTCTGGCAGGGAATGCAAAGCCCTACAGGATTTTTGCTTCAGTCTTCAAACTTGTGTGGCTATCGTAAATTGAGAGTGCTGGTGGAAAAGAAGGATGGTTGATTTTCTGAGCACTACACCAGCTGCTGCATATCCTGTCCTATATCCTCCTGCTCTGCCTGAGCTACAAGTGGAGCTACACATATGCTTTGGCTGTGGCTCTTGCATCTTCAATGAAACAACTAACGCTTTCAATTGTGCACATTCAGGATGCAAATTGAATTTCAGTAGCTTCAGCTTACTCTCTTGGACTACAGGCTTAACCACAGTGATGTTACCACAGGAAACCTTTGCACCTTTGCATACAGGACATTACTTTTATCTGCAGGAGCAAAGGAAGTCACGGTTTCCCCCGCACATCCGCCATGCTTCGTCTGCTCTCATCAGCGCTTCAGTACATGGAACACAACGATTTATTCTCATCAAAGGGGTCCAGGGTCCGGGCTGAGGTGCTCCTGGAGGCATCCCGCTGTCCCGTGGCACCAGCAGGCGGTGGCAGCCCGAGGCAGAGGAAGATGAAGATGCTGAGGGTCTGCCTGGGCACCAGAGGAAGCTCACACGGCACGGCTGGCTTCTCACCGGCAGCGCCTCCGGTCACTCCACAGCTCAGAACTTTCCCCCCCCCCATGTCTTCTTAGCACGAACAAGGTCCTGTCACCTGTGTTTAGGAAGAATGGAGAAAGACCGGGAAGAGATGGAGCCTCACAGACTGCTCCCCGGAGACTGCGCCTCGCCTCAGCATCCGCTGCATGCTTCGGACGTGATGGATGGAGGGCTCGGTGCTGGGAGACCGGATGAATCATATTTTCCGTGTTCAGCTGTAATCTGTGTAATTTCTTTATCACAGGGCAAAATGCATTAAAGCCAGGCGGCTGCAGCGCTCTGTGGGCTGCACTCTGGTTTCCTCTGCCGTCAGGACACAGTGCCATCCAGCTTGTGCAATCCCTGACGTTCTTTGGGGGCTCGCCTCCTGGCAGCTGTCTTTCTTCTTTTCCTCTGGTGCAGAAGGGCTCAGGGGTGCTGAGGGATGACAGCTCCTGCTCAGTTGCTCACCTTTGTGCCCCAGTAACACAAATCAGCTTGGGAAAGCTCACAGAGAGCATTAGCAAAGTGCTTCTCTCATCTGTAGCCCTGAAGCATATTTGGCTTCTCCTCACCTTGCCTTTCCTTTAGGAGGTTTGGTTCCTCCTGCTGAGCGTTGCTGCAGGAGGAGATGGACCATGTAAACAGGGAGCTGGAGTTGAGTGATGTTCCCTGCTCAGCTACTCCTACCTGCTCTGGCTGTGGAGGCAAGACATGCCTGTACCTCTGAACCGAGCACGGAGCTTCCGCTCCTGAGCACATTGCCAGGAAATGCTGCGTGCGTCTGTCAGCCTCTCCAGGGCCCAGAATAGCTGTGCTCCCTGCCTGCCCCAGATCTTCACCACCCATGTGGATTTGCTTTTTTAATTCTGTCACAGCCGTCACATGAGCTGCCCAACTTAAAGCAAATTTCTTAGTCATCTCTCTATCTACCAGACAAAATGTCACACCAGTCACTGTGCCTGTCCATGTCACAGGGTCCTGGTTTTGACTCTCTAGCTACACCTCCACCAGTAAACACTGCTGTGTCATGGCTCTTCTCCTGGGGTTTTTCCACACTGTCAAACTATCCCTGTGGTTATGCTTCATGATTCAGGCCAACACCCCTCAGCACTCTCAGATGGTGCCCAGGACCAGTTTTGGGTTAGCAGGGACAGATGCCATCCTTAACAGAGAGGGTGGGTGCAATTACACTGACCTGGAGGGTAAAATGTACCACTCTAAGAACAAAGCCCGTGCTGTGCCCCAGTGACAACAAACAGTCCATTTTGTGGATGGGGATAAGAGCAGGAGAGCCAAACTTCTTTCTCTGTAGAGTCACCACCCTCTTGCCATCATGGGATGCACACCTCTAGGTGGGCTTCACCTCACAAGCCTTTGGCTGTTTAATCATCCACTAGCTTCTCTCTTAGTGAAGGAACAGAAACAGGAACCTCTAATGGGCAACCTAAAATAGATGGGGTGAGTCACCAACAGGAGACATCTGTTACTATCCACTAATTAAAGATGGAGCCAAGAAAACCAACTCAGACAACTTTCTTCACCCAGCTAAGCTTGGGTGACAGCAATCTTCCTTTATGTGGTTTTGCATCTACCTAGCCTACTGAGCCATAGGACAAGGCATTGCCATATGCATGTTTAACAGGTACACTTGTGCAAATGTATGAATGCAGAGTTTCCTATGGATTTTTGAACTGATCATTCCTGATTTTCAAATAATTATCTCTGCAGAATTAACATTCTGAACATTTGCTTTCCAGAGGAATATATGTCATGCCACACAATCTGTAATGTGCAAGATTCTAGATTCACATAATAAATTAATTTCAGATATATTTTTAACCAATATATTTGTTCCCTGATTATACCACATGGCTGAAAGAAAATACACACTTCTCTTCATCAGATCCCACAGCTCAAGCAGCAATGTATCAGTAGTAGTGACTCTGACCACTATTTGTAACAATATCTTAGCAGCACCATCATTTTATACCCACTGAAGGTAGCATTTATGTCAGCAGGAATAAGTGAGAAGCTAAAAAGTGGTTCTACCTGAGTCCTGCTCTTTTCCACTTATCCATTGTTGCAGCAGGGATGAGGCAGGAGTGTCAAAAGAATGCATGTTTGCTTCTCCAAAATACTGGTATGACAATTCTCTTTGAAACTGGGAATAAAACTCATTTTCCTCTTGTCTCCATGTGCTCACAAGTGTGTGAATAAATATGAGCTGACACAGGATTTGTATGAGTGCCATACTGCGAAGCACCACTTTATTTTGCACCGCCAAGCTTTTGGCACATCTCATGAGGAAAGGAACGGTTCACAAACCATGCAAGTCTCCCTAAAACACACATCATAAAACCTGTGGTGTGTTCCTAGCCACTGTACATGCTGTTTGTTCCACTTACTCCCTTCCAGTGCTAGTCTTTGCCTTTCAGAATCCTCTGATTCCCCCCCTCTCATTGAATAGCATTAGTTACTATGGAAACTGATCTGGGGATATGGAACTTGGTGACATCCACATGGAAGGGATGCTTCCCAGGAACCTAAATATCAACTGGATGGTTATATGCCAACACTGCATATGGCTTAGATTTTGTAAAAACCCACAGAAGGTCACTGAGGGAAAAGAGGTATCAGCTGAGGTTATGATGAAAGAAACCCCAAATCCACCCACTGGTATGTTTGGCAGTCCCATGACCTTCCTGGTGACACAGCCCTGTGACTCAGAGGGAGAAGAACCAGAGACAGGCTGTGCTGGACCACAGGACTGTGCATTCCTCCCAGGAACTGCTCTGTATTCGGAGAAACACACAAGGTCACTACAGCTTTTGCGGTGAGCTTTAATGATGCTTACCAGAGAATTGTTAGCTAAAGTTAAAAGTAATTAAAGAAAAAAAAAATGCCATGCAGAGCACACCAAAAATATTTGTGACCTAGCTGTTTCAAAGAGGTCCTTTCTCATAGCTCAGAAATTCACCTATTGCAAAAATCCCTTTGTGAAGATACACTTGGCTGGGTGGTACTTTGCTGTGTCACTACAAGGAGAAAAACTTCTTAGAGGGATTGGGGCCCACCAGAAAACAGCTGCAAGGAAGAGAAGAGGGCCCTGCTTTCAAGTGGGCAGCACCCAGCAGAGGACTAGGAGCAGGCAGGTACCAACCCCTTTGTAGGTGTCATCCTGTGCTTCACTGGAAATGAGCAGCACCACCTGGCCACGTAGAAATGCCTTTTGGTCTCATTCTCATTAAAAGCTGTTTTCTGTTCTTGCCAATAAACTTACTAAATATCACCTCCCTCTTGCCTGACCTCCAGAGGCCAGGCAGAGGCAGTGTGGGGAGGACAACCCCCTTTCCTTCTGGGCAGAGGGAAACCTGTGGGGCAGGCAGGAGGGAGCTGGCAGTGCAGGCAACAGGGCAGAAGACTGGGATAAGAGGACTGGACACAGCGGGACCTCAGCCCAGATTTATGGATTCCCAGCTCTTGTTTTTGATAAAAATGTGCATGCTTTTCCAGAACAGAGGCACACAGGCTGAGTTGGGGCATCATGCTGCAACCAAAGGTGGATGTTTTAGAGCATTGTTCATATAGATTTTTTTTCTACCTGTGTTTCTAGATAAGTAGGAGACATCTCCAATCACCTCCCAGTGTTTTTCAGCACAAGTCACTGCCAGGGCAAATGCTGCCAAATGAGTATTGTAGGGGGATAAAATCCTTAGAGTGCAGGGACTGTTTGACTTGCTTTGGGTTGGGTTGGTTTTTTATTTATTATGAAATGCCAGAATAAAATCTGACCCAATTTCAAGCTCCTCTTGAAAGATTAAAAAAAAAAAAAAAGACATTCAGTACTTTTTGGAGGTTGGTGCCTTTGCAGCAGTAGCAGACCTAGTATGGGCAGTAAGGTAAAGAGGTATACACTGCATACTTTAAGTGGAACTATCCTCAAAAACAACGAAGCAATTTAACGCCTTGCACTGTGCTGTCACATTTTTGTTTAGCAGCTATGTGAAAAGTCATCGTGTCCCATTTTTAGACGGCCACCTCCCTGTTCACACTGATCTGTATAACAAGCACAAAAATGCCCATTTATATTTAAAGGGGGATTTTTGCAGAAATTTCAGTGTGATAGAGATTTTAGGCTGAATACTGACAAGTACATAAAGTGATGAGTTTTGCTCAGTTTCCCTAAACTTTCAGGACCTGTTCTCTCTTGCCAGGCTTCCCTCTGGCACTGTCCCCATCCTCCACTTCTCTACTCTCTCGGGGCATTGGCAGAACACAGGCTACCCTAGAGAGGGGAGTGGCTCTAACACTCCCCTGTCATTTCCCAGGGCATCAATTGTAGGGATTTTCCAGAGGGCTTTTTTAGATCCACCTGCTGTTTGTTCAGCCAGCCCCACAGAAACATATAAACCTGTTTTACTTGAAAAGGGAAAGCAGGCAAACCTCTCTGTGCAATTAGATTGAGCTGTCTGTCTACTTTCAGCCAAGAAAGAGCTGCCAACCATGTTGAAGGAACAATTTACCTGGCTGACATCTGAAGAGGAACAGAGTCCCCTAAATGAAACTTTCTCTTCAGCCTCAGGAAAAAAAAAATCTATTCTATTCCCACGGTTTTGGCTGATCCCCTCTGAGTCTGTGTGAGGCATGATGGCTATGAACTGCTCTTACTTGAAATAAACTGGCTGACCCATCCCTAATCAAAACCAGCATTTAAAATGTGACAGAGGAGCAGCTGTCCAAAAATTAACAACAAGCTGATGACCCAGATGTAGAAATTAACTG